TGGGGTCTGGGTACCAGGAAGTGCGACTGATGCTCATGATGCTGGCCCGGTTGTTGGTTTCGTGAAACAGGGAGTGCAGCTGATGCTCATGATGCTGGCCTGGTTTTGGAGTAGAGTGCGGCTGATGCTCATGATGCTGGCCCTGCTTTTGGGGTTTGGATACAGGGAGTGCAGCTGATGCTCATGATGCTGCCCCGGTTTTGGGGTTTGGGTAACAGGGAGTGCAGCTGATGCTCGTGATGCTGGCCCAGTTTTAGCTTTTAACTGACAGAGAGTGCGGCTGATGCTCATGATGCTGGCCCGGTTTTGGGTTTTCGTGAAACAGGGAGTGCAGCTGATGCTCAGGATGCTGGCCAGCAGCTGATGCTCATGATGCTGGCCCGGCTTTTGGGGTTTGGGTAACCGGAAGTGTAGCTGATGCTCATGATGCTGGCCCGGCTTTTGGTGTTTGGGTAACAGGGAGTGTGGCTGATGCTCATGATGCTGGCCCGGTTTTGGGGTCTGGGTACCAGGAAGTGCGACTGATGCTCATGATGCTGGCCCGGTTTTGGCTTTTGACTGCCAGGGAGTGCGGCTGATGCTCATGATGCTGGCCCGCTTTTGGGGTTGGGGTAACAGGGGGTGCGGCTGATGCTCATGATGCTGGCCGGGGTTTCGGGGTTTGGGTCACAGGGAGTGCGGCCGAACCTCATGAAGCTGGCACGGTTTTGGGATTTGAGTCACTGGGGGTGCAGCTGATGCTCATAATGCTGGCCCAGTTTTGGGGGTTGGGTAACAAGGAGTGCGGCTGATGCTCATGATGTTAGCCCGGTTTTGTGTTTTGGCTAGCAAGAAGTGCATCTGATTCTTACTGTATGATTGCGGGTTGGGGTAAACAAGGAAGGGCTGCGGCTGATGTCATGGTGCTGGATCGGTTGTGGGGTTTGGGTAACAGGGAGTGCGGCTGATGCTCCTGATTCCGGGCCGGGTTTTGGGGTTTGGGATGGTTTGGGAAACAAGGAGTGCGGCTTATGATCATGATGCTGGCCTGGTTTCGGGATTTGGCGAACAGGGAGTCCGGCTGATGCTCATGATGCTGGGAGTTTGGGAAACAAGGGCCGCGGCTGATGCTCATGATGCTGGCACAGTTGTGCGGTTTGGGTACCAAGAAGTGCGCCTGGTGCTTATCATGTCGGTTCGGTTGCGGCTGATGCTCATGATGCTGTCCCGGTTTCGGGGTTCGAGTTACTGAGAAAGCAGCTGATGCTCAGGATGTCGGCCTGGTTTTGGGTTTGGGCAACTAGGAGTGCTGTTGATGCTCATGATCCCTCCCGGGCTTTCGAGTTCGGGTAATCGAGATTGCAGCTGATGCTCACGATGATGGCCCGGCTTTCGGGTTTGGGGGTACGAGGGGTGCAGCTGATGATTATGGTTTCGAGGTTTTTTGGGTAAGAGGCTGTGGGTGCTTTATGCTCCTGATGCAAAAAGGAGTGAGGCTCATGATGCTGGCCCAGTTCCGCGGCTTGGGTACGAGGATGCAGCTGATGATCATGATGACCAGGGACAGTAGCTCATATTCTTCTGAACCCTCAACCCGAACCCTAACTTTGACGCCTGAAATCTGAACCCTCTGCCCGAAACCCTGAAATCTGAAGCCCTGCATGCTCAAAGCTAAGCGCTCGAATCCTAACTACAAACTCTGAACTCTGAACCCTCAAATCTGAAAGCCAAGACCCTTAAACCCCAGACCTCATATCCTCATAGCAGCTGTCTTTCTTCTCTTCCACGCCCACTTTTCAGATGCTCCCTTAGAAGCCCTAGATAACCCCTGCATGACCAACCCCTGCATAACCCCTTGCATCTGGAAAACCGCAACCCCAAACCTTTCTCAGCTCGAGTCTGACGGGCGAAAGGAGCTCGCAAGTCCGCACGGGTCCCGCCTCGGCTATGATGCTTGGAGGGGCACTCAGTAAGTAGGTTAATAAGTTTTTGCTATTAACCTACTAACAAGGTTAATAAGTTAATAAGGGGGATACTAGGGTTACTGTATCGGTTATAGGGCTTTGTCCCCACCCTCCAAGTAGGGTTCCTTTGGCTCAGGGCTTAATTGCTGGGGATGCCTGGGTTCGTGTGGGAAAGGTTTGAGGAGTCTTTAGGGAGTTTCCGCAACAAGCAGCATAGCCTTGTCGAACAGCAGGGAAATACTATTTTGGGACATAACCCAGACATGTAATGAGTGGGTTTGACGGGTCTCTAAGTTATGGCTCCTTTGACAGGGGGAGAGAATGCTACCATAAGACCATTGCAAATACAATAGACCACCTGGCTAGAGTTTGGGAATTTCAGATGTTTGCAGGAATCTTTCTAAGGGTAGAGCAAACTCCATCTGCATGATTCAGCGCATCTTTGGGTATGCACTTTGCGTCAAGTCTATATCATTCTAGCCTGGTCTGAAGGGTGAAACATCTATGCACGGCTCTTCCGCGCCAGTGAAAGTTCTTGCAGCTGCTCCCTAAACCCTAACCCTAAACCCTTAACCCGCAGGAGAGGAATCAAGTCAACTCGCAGACGCCCGCACTTGCTCATGGTGCAAGGAGAAAGCCTCCACACTCGGGAAGTCCTCTGGGCCCAGCCCCCATCCATGAACAGTCTAGAATAACACACTACTGGCTAGTGAAAAATCACCGGGAATAGAATCTCTATATAGTCCATGTATTCCCTTATTCTCTACAGACCCCGAGCAAGATACGGGTCATAGTCAGGGCTCTGTATATGTCTATCATACATATTATCCAGCTGTTAATGGGTGGTTGCGGTATCCAAGAAGTCCTGTGCTTGAGCCCATGAACCCTCTTTGTAACACCCCTTTTCTCAGTTGTAGTTAGTACGGGGGAACCATTATATGTATGTATACATATATACACACACACAGGTATAAAGGGATTGTGTTCCCTTATTCCCTACTAACCACCAGTAAGCGTTTGAACCAAGAGCTCTTGCTAGTAAACCCCTTTTACAGCAGGCGTGTTGGCCGACGCAGGGAAACTCTTAGACTCAACCTACAAGACTCCTAAACTCTAACTCCCAAAATGCCCTCCCAGCCCCAAAAACTCTAAACCCGAACTCCCAAAAACCCTAAAGCCTCTGCACATGAAAGGCGGACAGCTACGCGTCAGTAGTCTCAACAACATCCAGCGCTGCTCGCACGCTCAACTCCAGGTTCACCTGGGAGTTTCCAAAAACTACTGTTTAGGGCTTAGAGTTCCTTGGTACGGTTTAGGGTTTAGGGCTTCTGGTTCATGCGTTAAGGGTTCATGGGTCCCGGACTACCCCCCTACTGCGGGTTTTCCTTAAAAAGTTACTGAAAGATAATGGAGCCTAATTATATAAGGTTCATCAAGGGGCAAACTAGGGGAGGGTGGAAAAGGGGGTAGTAAGGAAAACTACAGTCCATTCATGGCATATTAGGGATATAGAGGTATGGATTATATGGGTATACTGGAACCCTCAACCCTATTATTTGGGAAGCCATCTGGGTTTGAGACTTCTTGGGCATGCCAAATTCCACAGCCAGCAAGTGTCACGGCGTCGCTGAGTTTAAGGATTTTTCCCTCCCGCTTGGCTGCTACGATTAGGGCTTGAGGTTTAGAATGTAGGGTCTGTAGGGTCGATCTAAAGGTCCTGTACGGATGTCTTGGGGTCCTGCAAGTCTATAAGAACAACCCCAAAATATTAAAATCCTTATTATGGGGACCCCCAAAAAGGTACCCCTAATTTTGGGAAACCCCCAAATCACCTTCCAGAATAGCCACCTGGCAGATAGGAGTTTTGATCACTGTGGCTTGGGTGGCTTGGGTTGGCTCCAGGCATTGCAAGGCATATGCTGGTTCAAGCCGGGTTTGAGGCATGCAGTGCCAGCCTATGGACCTTCAGGATAAAGGCCCCCTAATCTTTAAACCCTGCACCTTAAATCCCAAACCCGAGCATGCATCTATCTTACCTTCCCGACGTCAGGCGGTTAGGGGTAAGGCCCAGAGCAGGCGTCGCTGTAAGTGGCAATATACCACAAAGGCCTGACTAATTATCAACATCCATTGGAGCTCTATTTGAGGTACCCTAAACCATAGTTATACAAGGAATCTGGGACCGAAATGCTAGCAGTTCTGTAGGCCACCTATATGGCTCACTCTCATTTCGCCTGCGTTCAGGGCATTCGACTTGCATACTAGCACCGAAAAAGCCTTGACACTATCCGCAGAAGCCTTCACGTACCCAACGTGCACGTGGCAGTCAGTAAGCCAAGGTTCGTCAAGGCTGCATTCGTCGATCAGCTGCTGTAGGTGCAGCGGTGCCATCTTCACCGCAGTGTCCTGGAATAAGAACACAAGAGCTTCCACACAGAGATGGGTCCCCCATATAACCAGTAGACTAAAGTCCTTATAAAAGGTATCGCCAAACAGGGGCCCCTCATCAATTTCCAGCCAAGGCTAGGGGTTTGGGGATCTACGTTGGCGCATAGAAAATGATATGAGTCTGGGCCGGCTCACTCGAAAAACTCGTCTAGAAATGAGGCCGTTGTGGCGTTTTGCTGAGGCTTCAGTGTTCGTGGGTGCAACGGCAACACTACCAAAATCAATACCGTGGCAGTAAGGGCGGCGATGGTTGCGGAGGCGGGGTCGGAGCCGTTGGCGGAGGCAGGGCGGAGGCGGGGCGGTGGCGGTGGGGGTGGTGGTGATGGGTAGTAGCAGCAGCGGGGCAGTACTACGCGACCACCAGGACCGCTGCTACCACCTCCTCCCGCTAGTTTTTAAATGTCTTCTGCTCACTAGTTACGCAATGCTTGTGTCACTAATTCTAGAATTATAGGCATCAGCACACATGTTAGGAGAGAATGCCATCAGCAGTTGTGGCACTGAGCTCCTTTTGTCCCATCAGAGACGTCAACTCTTCTCTCCTGGCAGGGTGCGCAACTTGCCGCATCAACTGCGAAGCTGTAGACTGAAGAAAGGTGCCGGCCTATTCTTGATGCCACGGACAGGCCATTTTACAGCCATTTCCAATGCCAAAATTAAGCCAGGTTGGAGCTACGCTCTACATATACCTCCGTTTGGGGTGAGCTCGTTATGGCTAAAAAACCACTTGGCCCCAAGTGCCGTATACCTTGGAAACCACGGTAAAGTAGCCTACTGCCGTCATGCAGGACGTTTGATACCAACCGCAATGACAGAAAACATACCTTCGGTCTCTAAGCCCCAACCTGGGAGGTACGCGAAAGGCCCCCAAAACGTCCCAAAACCATTCAGAAGAAGGTTGCTTTCAGAAAATCCCAGAGTGCCACCTAGTAAACTCTGAACCTGAGCCGTTAGCAGCATTGAATCACAGTAAGATAGTATACAAATTGACTAAAGCACCCAATCATGTAGTGGCATAATGTTGCAGTATCTCGGAAGCCCGAACCCTAAACCACGTCTAACAAGAAGAAGGCCAACTCTAAACCTTTACTACTAGTAGGTTTTGGGGGCCCTATAAAACTATAATTTATGGCTTTCGAGGATCATATAGAAATCTAGGGTAACAAAAAATTAGCACCTATTTTTCAAACCTACCAATGCGAAGGTGGGCCAGCCTTGCTGCTTGAAGCGTGATCATCTGGATCTGCTTAGCCGCAGCCAGCGTCGCGTTGTTGAGAGCACCCGTGGCCGGGCCATTTATGGCTGCTTGGAGGGAGTTGGCTGCCTCCCAGTATGCAGAAGCAGTCAACATGAAAAGATCACCCAGAATCCCATGGTTTAGGACTTTTGAGCTTCATTTTCGTTGATCTTGTCACGGGCTTTGGTACGTGGGCGCCCGATGAAATCAGAATGTGGTCCGTAAGACTGCGATTTCCACAAGTCCCTTTTGGGCACTTGTCACCATCTCGTTGCCAGTGAGACTGCAAGCACTATAGCTTGGATCGCGAAACATGTGCTTTACAAGTTTGAGCATTGCTCGAAAGCCTTTTAACGAAAACAGGGCTTCGCAACCGGGACCCTAGACCCTAGACTGAAGATCATAAAGAAATACCCTAAGTCCTAAGCCCACCCTGAACCCCTATGCACCCCCAACCCCAAACCCTCTTCCCCCGAACCTAAGGCCCTGCCTACACCGTGCACTCTACTTGGATGACCTTTTGACTTGGTAAGTCTACGTACAATGCCTAATAAACACCATAATAAGCCCACATACCCCGGTTACTAAGTAGTTCAGAGGTTTGGGGTTTGGGGTAAGTAGACTTACTAAGTCAAGAGAGCCTCAAAGCAAGCCCCTAGACGCCCACTGTATAGTTCATCCCGTCTCCATGTCCCTTTCCATGTTCTTGTCTTGGTGGTTCTCCATTATTCGGTTTCATCCCTAAACCCTAACCTAAACAATAGTTCCCATTTTGTTTCCAGTTATCTCTATGTATCCCCAAGCCGTACACCCCAAGCCCCCAACTACTGGAAAGTTACATGGCTCTCATTCTGATGTTAAAATCATGGGCCCCGGTATGGGCCCTTGACCTTGCAATCCTTCTATACCTATTATATACCCTATCTGGGTGATTGTCAGAATTATGGTCCCTTTTTGCATCCTATTATAATACGGCACCTAATATTTAGGGTACCCAAAAAGGGACCATAATTTTGACAACCACCCTATATGTAAGTGTCCCCAGAATTTGCCTAAAAAGGGTTAAGCGCCATATAAGGGGCTCATACTTTTGACCGTAAACTACTGTCGGAACCATAAGCCCCAAGTATGGGCCTTTGATCCGTGGGTTTCCTACATCCTGGTCTAGACTCCCTAGACGACCCTCTGTGTATGCTTTAAACAGCCTCTTGGAGCTCCCCTAACAAGGCTAAAGGGCATTCTTACCAATCCCTGAAGCCCGGAACCCTAAACAACCCAACTCTGACCTCTAAACTCTAAACCCTAACCAGACCCCTGATTAATAAACCCCCTCCCCTTAATAGGGAGTATAATAGGGATTCTAATATTCAGGCCCTTAAAAGGAAGGTTATTTTTTTTAATCATGGGTCTACATTAATCCCTAGACCCCTGTTAAACCCTATAGTCCCCCTTAGGTGGAATATGGGGTATAGGGGGATCTTATTATAATATACCCAAAGCCATATTCTATCTACTGAAGGCTGGGTTGGCCCCTAAAGCCTTTTGAAAAATATTAGTTTATAGGGTCCCTTATTAAAGCCATTAGGGAAAAGATTAAATATCCCAGGGCCCTACCCAGAAGGGGGACTATAACTATAACCCCTGTCACCCTCTAAAAAGACAGCTCTCAGAATGGCTCCCGCCTCGAATGGGTCACTTTCAAATTGCGCCAAGGCGGCTTCCTTGGCTGACTGGGGTATAGAGTCTCCCTTAAGGGAGTATAGGGGTTATATAGGGGTTATCTTGGGGATAATGGAAAAGAAAATGGAAACTACTATTTAGGGTTCAGGGTTTAGAGTTTCGGGGTTATAGTCCCCTTAAAATAGATAGACTATGGGGTATATAGGGATCTTAGTCTAACATACCCCAATCCATATTCTATCTACTTAAAGGTTTTAGGGTTAAGCCTTTTTGGGGTTCTAGCGTAGGGAAGAAAAGGTTCAACTTTCTGCTACCCTACTCTCTAGGAAACCACAAGAAAGTTCAAGAACCCAAGGCCCAGGCGAATAAAGCCTAGACCCTAAATGGGTATTTCCCATAATTAGGGGTACCATTTTGCGGGTCCCAATAATAAGGATTATAGTATTTGGGGGTCCATATTGGGCTCCCCTTATTTTGGGAAACTACCAAATAGTAGTTTCCATTTCCTTTTGTATTGTCCCTATATAACCCCTACACATACCCCTAGATGAAGCCCTAAAGAATCCCTATATAAAACCCCTAAGCCCATAGAGCCAAGCTAAAGGCTTGCAAGCTTCGATGGCCTTCTTGGCGGCCTCCCGGCTTTTCTCCTTGGAGCTCTTCCCTGGCAGCAGGACGGCTTTGGGGTTTAGGGTTTAGGGTTCAGGTGGGGTCATTCCCCCTTACAGTAAAGTAACTGTTTGCACAATGGGTTATAGGAGTTATAAGAACCCCCTTAATAAGGCCCCTTTAAGGACAGTTACTGGGAGGGGGAATGACCCAAGGTTAAGGGTTTACGGTTGGGCTTGGCGGTGCTTAGGGGAGTGGGGAAGTTAAGGCAAGTGTTGACAGTACAAAAGCCAACAGGGGTCTACGGGATTACTTTGTGTTTAGGATTCAGGTTTGGGAGGGTACCCTTCCGCAAACCAACAAGAAACCCCAAACAATGACCTACATAAAGGCCATGTAGATGGGGGTTTCATGTTAGTTTTGGGGGAGAGTGTATGTGGGTTTGGGGTGTGGAGTCGGGCTTCTTGTTGAACAGCTGGCTGGTTGGAGGTACCAAAAGTATTCTCTTGTAATCATTGCAGTCATAAAATGAAATAACACAGTCCTGATGATCCCCATTGCTTTTCCACTTGACTCTCCTCAACTAACCAAGCCCTCGATCCCAAATCCTAAACACTACTATGGCGCTATGAAAACCCTGGGATTTTACACGAGGCACTGTATACCATATACAAATTTCTACCCCCCCTTCAAAGAGATCCATCTAACCTTAGGCCCTTAACCATATCCAGTATATCGCCGCATTAAGCGGGGCCCTACAGTATGGCTGCCAGGACATTTTTGGCATTCTACCGCATGGCCGTGCGCTGCCTCGTTGTCCTCCAATTGCGAGGCTGCCCCATATGCTCACTTGCCTGGGAGTTAGGGAGGCTTAGGGTTTGGTGTTTTAGGATTTAAGAGTTTCGGGTTTGGGTTGGGGTTCTGAAAGTATGCACCGTTGGGTCATGAACGACTATGGGTGTAATGGCCATCTGGGGGATACAAGAACTCCCAAACTCGAAGTAAGGCAATGGTGGGGGACTGTTTTGCCATGTAAGCCACCACTTGAGGCAAGCCTAAACCCTAAACCCTAAACAAGTCCTAAACCCTGAAGTTAGGCAGGATGAGGTCTTCTATAAGTTGCCTAGGGTCAGGGCTTTGCGGCTGCGCAGGGCTTGATTCAAATACACAATCGAGGTCGCTTTTGAGGGGCTCCAACCTCCAATCCCTGCCTCAAACTGAGAATTCCAAGTAGTAGCCCAGTTCTAGATTCTATATGCTGAGGCCAGATGGGTAGATTTTGAAAGGTCAGTGGCGTTTCATTACTTGGGAGAGGGGACTGAATATCAGGTCTTGAAGTACAAAGGAGTCGAGTTGCATGGGGGTTCAGCTGGACTGGGGTTCGAGACTCAAGCCCTCAAAGGCTGCAAAAGACCAACGCCCCCCTTTTTTGTATGGCCCCTCTTGGGGTTTAGGGACCAATGGCCTGACCGAGCGGCGCGCTGTCGATGATCCAGCTTGCAAAGTCTTCAGATCATCGATATTCTAACAAAATCTTTATGAGACTCTGCCATTTCCATTTGGATCCCAATGCTTCGGCGGCTTCTCGAACGGGTGTTTCCCCGGAATGCCCACAGAAAAAAAAAGTTGCTAGTAGAAGGCTTGAATTCGACAAGCCTGTAGTCCTAGATCCTTAACCCCACTCCTAGCGCCCAGACATATAACGCCGAAGGGGGGCTCTATTGATTTGCGGTCCCTTTTTTGCGTGCATGTATTGCGTCCTTGTTTTGAACATACATTTGTGGGAGGGAGGGGGCTGAACTGCCCATGGACTGGCACTAGGGCCCCCACCACAGAACAAGCTTGAGTAGTGCTGTGTTTTGTGGTTGAGGCAAGTCAGATAAGTTTATACCCAGCTGCAAAAAAATTACCCGCTGTGGGGGACTATCGTATAAACATAAACAAACTCCCGGACTATCGTATCCACGTAGAAAAACTACATGGCCTCTACATGGGCATAGTTTCAATTTCATTGTCCATTAGATTATCGAATTTTCTGCGTCTGTAGTACACCCGATAAAGAAAAAACAACACAAACCAAAAAGCCACGCAAACCCTAAACCCTATATATCCCTGTATTAACCCCATATCCCCTTTTGAATAGCTATAGCATCCCCAAATCAGAGACCGCTCTTTTGAGGGCAGCCAGGCTGCACGCCAAATTCGCCTCGGAACTTGGTCCAGGCTTTGCTTAGCGCCGCTTTGGAATCCTCCAAGGCGGTTGCCAAAGCTTCTGCCTTCAGGGCTTAGGCTTCGGTGGGGTGAAGGGTCAGGGTGTTAAGAGGTTTGGGTCTTAGGACTCAGGAAACTGTATGGTTTGGGGCTTCAGCGTGTTAAACTTATAGTCCCCCCTATGATGGAGTATTTGGGGATCTTATTATCTTAATAAACCCCAAGCCACACTCTATCTACTTAAGGGGGACTGTCGGCTTTGGGGCTTTAGAGTTCCAATTTTGAGAGACGCCTCCTTATGAAAATGACAACCTGCAAACCCCCTAGCCCTACACATCTTAGTGCCCTTATATACCCTAAGCTCTAAACCGCGTGGGGGGCCACCCTAAACCGTGAAAGGGGTGGGCCCTCTGAATATGACTGTCCTTCGGCTGGCTGTGGGGGGTTCCATGTTAGTTTGGGGAAGGGTAACATTCAAGGTGTAGGCCGAGGTCTGGGTATCCATGCTGGACCTCTGCTTTTCATTCATCATTTCTATCAAGGGTTCCTGGGTTGCACCTCTAAGGTCGTACCCTTCAAAGGTTTCCCCAATATAGCCCTAATATAGCCCTTATATGGGCCAATGTAATCCCCTAGAGTCCCTTGAAAGGATCCCAAAATCCAGGGGCACAACCCTAAGGGTACAAGCCTGAAACCCTTGATTCTATTGTCTCAGATCCTTAGATCCTAAGCCCTACATCCAGCACGAGAAATCCCAAGCTTCAAACCCTGCATGGCCCTAAATCCCGTATGATCCTACAGTTGTTCAAAACACCTGTCCCCATAAGGTATAGTCCCCCTTAAGTAGATAGAATATGGGATATGTGGGCATCTTCTTATGGTTATGGTCAAATCCATCAACAAAAGGGGACCATTGCCATAGGGTCCTTTTTGCTTAGAACCCCCCTCTTCGGACAGTGGCCCCTTCTTTCAAAGGACCTTTCTTTAGAACAACTCATTAGGGGTTGGGGGAGGAATATGGGGGCTTCCCAAAAATGGGGGTACCATTTTGGGGTCCCAATGATAAGGATTATGATATATTAGGGTCTATAATGGGGTCCCCGTTTAGGTGCGATTCTCCATACGGAAAATTTTATGGGTCCACTCGCCCGCTCTCGCTAGAATCCCTAAATCCTACAAATTTCCGCATAAGTCGGACTTCCATTTGGTGTTCCATCTTCTTTCCCCATTAGATCCCCCCCCTTTATGAGGATTCCCTCGCTCACTCTAATCACCCTAGACCCCATACTCCCTAAACCCTAAACCCTAATCACCCTAAACCCCATACTCGTTTCCGTGCTCTTTTCCTGGCCCCCAATTTCCTTCAAGGGGATCCAGCTGTTGACTGCCCTTTTAGCGCTCCAACTTCAGCTCTAAAACCTACAGCCCTATATGAGCTAGAGTCTAAACTCCTTAAAGGGGGGATAGGTTTAGGGTTTAGGGTTCAGGGTTTAGGGTTTAGGGTACAGGGGATTATATAGGGGACTATTAAAGGGGTTATTAAGGGGGATACTATAGGAGTTTAGACAAGGGCTCATATCAGTTTCCATTGTATTTTCCAAGCCCTAAGCCCTGAAGCGTCGCCTGGCTCGTCCCCCAAGCCTTTGGAGAGCCTCAGTGCAGGGTACGACATTAGGACCGGTTGCTTGAGGGGATACCGCGACTCATGCTGAAATCCTGCATAGTCGCCGTAAATCGCCCTAAGTACGTTATACCTGGAGTAAGGACTTGTAATACCAACAGTAGTAGAAACTCTAAACCTTTGATTTTCATGTTGGGGCTCAGCACAATGAAGAGTTTAGTCTCTTTAGGGCTTACGGTCTAGGGATTAATGTTGAATCTGGCTTTAGGGTGTAGGTGTCATTTTGAGGGCGTATGGTGCAAGGCTCAGGTTTAGGGCTGGGCTCACCGTCTAGGATCTCCTTTTGTAATCTTCTGTCTTAAGCCCCTCCCACTAAGACCAACCCCCCCCACCCCCTATTCCTGGATGTTCCTCTTGTGGTATACTTGAATATAATGCGAACATCTAAATATTACGTGGTGTGGGATCTAAATAATAGGGGGATTAATACTTCTGACAATAGTCATCACTTGAGAACAGCGTGTGTAAGTGCACAAATACTAGTACTAAGAAGATGTACGTGAGCTAATTAACGGACATGGATTCGTACTGGGGAATATGTTGCAGACCAGACTAAGCTACCAAAGGGATCCTATGCCCACGCTTAATCGTCCCATGGCAACCCTAATACTGGCAGTAGCTCACATAGCCGCCCAAGTAAGCACCCTAACAAATACTCTGTACTCTGTTCATGCTGAAATAAAGTTTCAGGAGTAGACCTACTGGGTCAAGGTAGGATAGTTACAGCTAAGCTAGCCTAAACTCCTAGAGCCTAAACTCTTAGTATCCGTTAAAAAACCCTATAATGCTCCCCTATACAATCCCCTATATAGCCCCCTTTGAGGAGTTTAGACTATAACTCAATTGTGCCCTAAGCTGCCCCAAACGCTACACCCTAAAACACGTATCACAAGCTGAACATGAGTCCCAAAATGATGAACAGGAGTGGGACGGTCTGGCTAGCTGTGCTCCCTACTGGGATACCACGCAAAAGGAACGACGTTCTATGAAGTAATATTATGTATTCATTATTGGGCTCCATTGCTATGACTCGAATCCTACATGACGCTCAATTATGCCTTTGGAACTGTAGGAATTTCGTATATTGAGGTCCTGCAAACAACGTCTACCCTATCAGCGCGAAAATGCTCAAAGTCAATTTCAGCTATGACCCCTTAAGCCCGGCCTTTAGCCTTCCCCTTAAGCCCGAAACCCCAAACCCTCAAACCCTAAACCCCTAAACCATAAACTTGAAAACCCTAAACCCTAAACCCTAAATCCCTAAACCCTAAATCCCTAAACCCTAAACCCCCCAAGGACTGAGGATGACGCCTTTAAGGGACAGAGGTGCATTGGGAGGCTCAAAGATGGTCTCTTCCGCGGCCTGGAAATATGGTCGTTATTGTTGTGGTTATAGGGTTTAGAGGTTTAGGGTTTAGGGTTTAGGGGTTTAGGGTTTAGGGTTTAGGGGTTTAGGGTTTAGGGTTTAATGGAAAAGAGAATGGGAACTACTATATCATAACAGGTGCATGTTAGGGTTACAGTTCCCCTTAAGTAGATACAATATGGGGTATATGGGGATCTTATTATATATACCCAAAGAAATATTCTATCTACTTAACGGGGACTATGGCTTTAGGGTTTAGGGTTCAGGCTTTAGAGTTTAGAGTTAAAGCTGTAGGGGTTTTTAGTTTTTAGGCTGTTCGGGCTCCTAGGGTGTCCAAGGCTTAGGACTGAGGGTTGTAGGGTTTTGGATTGGCGTTTGAGTGAGCGCCTTCTACCCGTTCCAGCAGGGTTTGGGGTTTTAAGGGAGTTCTGTCAAAGCAGCTGGCTCAAAGAGAATAAGCACTGAAACACCATGGCATGGGTAACAGTAATCTGCGGAGTGGAAAGGGAACCCTACTCCACTGTAATATCCCTACACACAGATTGCTGCAGTGATAGCTCATTCTTGCTCTGCACTCTTTTACCATAAGCCTTCCTCCCCCTCAATGCTTACACCACAATGTCAGGAGCTCCCCACATTGTTTCCAAGCCCGGTGAAGCATAATATGTTAATCGATAATCGACCTTGACCTAGAGTATTGCCCACAGTTGCCATGCGAGAACATATTCTTGATTCGAACGCACTCTGCCGTGTAACGGGAGTGTACGTGAATGCCGGAAGAGAAGAAGCTTGGCGTAACAAACGGCGCCAGTTTAAAACCAGATGCCCCTACCCTAAACCCCTATTTGAACCCTAAACCCTAACCCTAAAGCCCTCCGGCGGGCAGCATCTGTGCCAACAAAAAATCCTCAGTACACCTCACGCAAATCAAGGCACTTGTAATGAGCACCCTCAATATGGGAGACAACAGCGGACCAAAAAAGTTGAGCAATATTCAAAGATGGCAACAACTTCAGCTTCTCCGCCTTGTCAATGGCGTAGCCTGAGACAGGGCGTTTTCGATCGTTTTTACCTAATAAGCTGCATTCCTACCTACTTCAAGGCTCTTGTAGCAGGACCAAAGCCCTACGCCCTAAGCCTACTGCAGGCTTTTCAGCCCCAGCAAAGGAATCCAAAACAAGCCTTAAAAAGTTGACCCCGGCCTGAGCGACCGTCATTTTCCACTCGACTTGCGGCTTCGCATTCATCCTGCTGAGCAACGGTAGGTGCAAGGGAAGGTAGTTGTACGGGAGGTGGCAGTAGTGGTGGGCGTCCCCACCTAGGAACTACGTTTGATGTAAACGTTTATCTATTTGAAGGTTGGTGGGGGTTATTTAGGGTGGGGGGTAGTTACGTACAAGCCAAAGACATTCTTTTACCATCCTCCCTGACACCTGCAGGGGAGCGGGAGTGAGTTACGTACAAGCCAAAAGCATTCTTCGATCAACCATCCTCCCTGACTCTATAACCCTTGCAAGCTTTCCACTGAGAAGTTCGTTGCTCACAAGAAGAGTTGATGCCGCCCTAAGGCGCTCAGCTCGGTGAACCAGACATTTCCTGGCACTACTGATGACTGCAACTGATTGCTTTCTCGGGGAATGATACTACAACCTGATGATAAACGTGGAGCAAGTCGCCGCCGTCGCCACCACCGTCGTCGTCGTTCGCGTCGGCGTCGGCGTCGGCGTCGGCGTCGGCGTCGTCGTCGTCGTCGTCGGTAGTCGTCGTCGTCGTCGGTAGTTGTGGCCGCCGCCGTCATCGTCGTCCTCGTCGTCGTCGTGGTCATTGTCGTCGTGGTCGTCGTCGTCATGGTCGTCATGGTCATGGTCATGGTCAAGGTCATGGGTGATGGGTGATGGGTGATGG